ACACCCCCGGTGCATAAATCCCAAATTTAGGAGACTTTGCGCACCTGCACATTTATCCCAAGTGCGCATATCCCAAATTTAAGGGGTTTTGTGCGTTCCTAAGCACACACCTGGTGCAGATATCCCAAATTTAGGGGGATTTTTGTGCCTGTACATCTATCCCTGCTGCACATATCCCAAATTTAAGGGATTTTTACCCCTGTGGTGCCACAATCATCGCAGATATCCCAAATTTAGGGGATTTTAAGCATCGCTGCCTCCAGCTCCTCTCCCATTCCTTGTAATCCTGCAGGAATTCAGCACCACCAAAACCCCTCAGGCTCTGACATTAAAATTTACCGAACGCCGAAGAATTTGGACCATATTTTTCCCCCTCATTGTGATTTTTTAAGCAGAAAAAAAATTAAAAAATCCCGGAACAGCCACAAAACGCTTAATTGKGMGTTAATTACTSCCATCCCCACTCGAGGATGAGCCCRAGCCGCGGTGATAACTCAGCGCCCATCCAATCCAACAACATCCTGCTCCTGAATTTTTCATGGCMAAGATGCCGGGATTCCTCCAGAGGTGGTTTTTTTTTTTTCACGGGCAATTTACGGGGACTGAGGGGGAAAAAAAATAAATAAAAAAAATTGAAATAGCGGCTTTAACAGACACGAGCAGCTGGGGAAAAAAAAAAATCCCCGTCGAGCTGGGGATGTTCGGGAAGCTGCGACAACACGGAAAAAAACTCGGTGAGACACGAAAAACCCGCTGGGCATCCCCCTCCCAACACTCCCGTCCTGCTGGAGAYGGATCCTTTTGAAGCCGGGAGATGCTGAGATAAAAAAAAAATAAAAAAAATCTCCCCTCAAACGCTCCCGAGCAGCGGCCAGGTAAATTCAAAGAGCCCCGGGGAGGGAGAGCAGCTGAARGAACGAGGGAAGCTGGAACAAAACTCGGCTTTTTGTGGATGACCCGCTGCCAAATCGAGCGGAGAGTTCGCAGGGGAGGGAGGGAAAAAGATCAAGGGATGGATTTGTTTTATCTGGGAAAAGTTGTCTGGGGAGAGGAGTCACCTGTTCCGGGCCGAGCCGCGGGAGGTTTTGGGTTGGTTTGAGGGAAAAATGAATTTCTGTCAGCGCTGTGAGGACCTCGGCTTGGATTCCGAGGGGAATTTCCTCATGGAAAAGGCGGTCGGGTTTTGGAAGGGGCTGATTTGGGGTTGGTGTCACTCAGAGCTTTGAATTGGGGGTCAAAGGTCGCGCTCTGATCCTGGAGAGCTTTTCCAACCTCTGGGATAACAATTCCTCTCTCAGGGATACAGAGACGGCAGGAGAAAAAAGCCAAACCCACAATAAATCATCAGAGAAATCCCCAAAGCAGAGGGAAAACCCAGCAAGAGGGAAAATAATTAGGAGAGAACCCAGCGCCACCTCCGAGCCGGGAGTTATTAATTAACAACTTCCACTCTCCACGYGCATTTCAGGCCACCACAATTTTATCCAACGCTGAGAAGAGCAGCCAAAATGTGGTTTTTTGGGTGAATTTTTTATCCTGGAGCGCTGAGAGTCCCCGGGAAGGGGAGAACGCAGCTCAGGCACCGTTTGATTTTAATCGCGGGCCCGTTCTGTCCCATTGAGCCGCTAACTGAGCCCACCAGGAGATTGTGTTTACACAAGCAGAGCCCGGCTCAAGACAGACTCGCTGTCACATTAAGTCAATACTCGGGAAGCCTCTCGAGTTAATTATTCAGCGAGAATTGACTGATTCTCGTGTTAAGAGCCCAGCGAGCCCGCAGGGAGCGGAATCCTCCCCCCGCCGCTTCCTCGTTCTCCATCCCAAACGTGAGGGACCCCCCCATCCCCAAATCCGCCAGATTTGGGGTTTTTTTATATAAATTTCTCAATCCTGAGCAAGCTGGGAGAAGGGAAGCGGCTCCTCCACGTTCCAACCCCTCCGAAAATCCAGCTCTCCCAGTTCCCATTAAATCCAGGAGTAATTTTTCCCCGCTCCTTCTTCTTCCCAGACAGGCTCTCATTACAGGGAGTAATGAGAAAGTTGAGCCGCTGTTTATCAAGGAAACATCCATTCCTTGGGTGGCGTTTTTCTGCGCTAAACAAAGGCCGCGCCGCTCTCCAAAAGCCGCGTTTTGTTCCCGTGTTTGGTGTTTAATCAATTCCCAGCCAGCCTGGATCCCGTTCCCTCAATCCCGAGCCAAAACTCCCGGCCCGAGCCCGGCCAAAAAGCGGCGGCTGAAATCCTTGATGGGCAAATTCTGCGAGGGGGAGAATCCCTCATTCCCCCCGGCCTAAAAAACACCAAAAACGGGGATAAAATCATAAAAAAAATCATTAAAAATCATTAAAAAATCATTAAAATCATTTAAAAATCATTAAAAATAATAAAAAAATAATTAAAAAATCATAAAAACCCAGGGACGCGACCCAACACCCCACTTTGGATGCCGAGGAGCTCCAGCCAAGTGGAGGCTGGGAATTTCTTCAGCACACCAGCACCACTGGAGCGTGTAAGAGCAGATTATTTGTGTTCCCGACTTGCTGATGCA